TGCCGTTGATATAGAATAGTTTCTTTGGAATAGTCACAAGAGGACACTACACAATAAGACGAATATTGTACAAGTTAAGTTGAGTGATTCTTGTACTTACTTTCGAATGAACTGGATCTCTTTGGCTGTACATATATCTCAACTCTCAAGAGTCATTTATAAAATGCTATATCTAGTGTCTAGTGATAGAAGATTCATGGCTTTTTTCTTTCAATTAAATTTGAATGAGCTAAGGGAAACGAGAGACATAAAAAGAAATTCCCCTTTCTATGCAAGTGAACCACTGCCCCCCCATTTTTCAGTTCACTCAGTCTACTATATCGGAATGAATATGACTTAAATTTTTTTTTTTTTTTTTTGGAAAAAACAAAAACAAAAACAAAAGAAAACCATTGCTTACAATTTTTTGTCTTAAAAAGAAGATTGAGCATTTGTACTTGACTAACTAGTTTCCCCCTGAATATATTAGATGTAATGTATTAGTCTACTAAGATAAAGAATGCCTTGTGAATGCAACCTATTGGTAATGTTGGGGACAACAGAAACGTGTGGGGGCTGGACCTGCATGTTTTGACACCTGGAAATGCATCCAAAACCTGAAGCAAAATGGCCTCAACCTAAGACATATATATGTTACTTACAGCAGAAATTTACCTGCACAAAACATACAAACAAGGGTTTTTTTTTGTTTTCTTCTATCTTGTTCAGTTAGACATCCTTCTGTTTACCTGAAAATGCTTTTGGAAGAGTGGAAAGAAAGGAGACTGTTTTGTTGTTGGTTGTTTCATGAAGGAATAGAAAATTGGCCACATTTGTCTTGCACTATTATTACTCTTTGTTTTTTTTCCCTTGGAGGGGTTACATAAAAATATAAAATAAAATTGTTCAAATCTGATCTTGGATGTTATGCAATTACAGTCTCATCATCACGTGGCATGGCATCATTGCCAGCTTGCTCTGACTCCTCTGCATCAGGAGCAGCCTGGCCTTCAAAACAACAATCTTTCATGGATTATTGTGGCTAGCTACTTGGTCTTGGTCTATCCTAAACCAATATGTTTATTTCTCATGCCTGATTGTGCTTCTCTTTCTGACACGCACTCAGAGAAAGATGCAGAGAAAATTTGAAATTTGATGATACAAATTAATCATCATACTAATCATTCCTTGCACCAAGAGATTTTATAGTTATACCACTTACCACTACTAGTCATAAAAAAAAAGGAAAAAAAAATAATGAGGGCCAGTGATGGTACTTCATTCATTCATTGATTGCTGGCTGGACCACAAAACCAATTCATTTATGAAAGTTTATATATACTAATCATTCCTTGCACCAAGAGATTTTATAGTTATACCACTTACCACTACTAGTCATAAAAAAAAAGGAAAAAAAAATAATGAGGGCCAGTGATGGTACTTCATTCATTCATTGATTGCTGGCTGGACCACAAAACCAATTCATTTATGAAAGTTTATATAAAATTATTTTTCAAAAATCTCGACGTGTTGTATTTGATACTTTTCAATATTTTTTGACTCTTTGACACTTTTCTCAAAAAAGGTTTAAAGATTGTGTTACGTTGTGTTCTTAGTTCTAATTATTAGATTCGTTGAATTACTATTATCATTTTATTGAATTTAATATAAATATTTGTGATATCTTATATTTTTTTGCAAAACTAATGAGTATTATAAGTTTAGCTTTAGTTTTTTTGTTAAATTATTGAATATTAAATATAATATACTTAACATAAATTAAAAATATTATTTAATATCAAAACATGTCTTAACGTGTCAAAATTTAATATTTTTTAAAAATAACGTATCGGAGTGTTGTGTTATGTCGTGTTCCATGTTCCGTATAAGTATCAGTGCTACATAAATAGAAAGGGAGTACTGAAAATCTTAGACTTGTAATATATGCTTAGATTATGTTTGTTCTACATGAGATTTTAGAAAAGATGTTATCTATGCCATAATATTAGCAAGAAAACTTTTATAGTAATTCTTTTAGTAGCTAACTAGTAATTAGTTTTCATATATGGATACCATTGGAGTTGTTTAAGCAGACTGTTCTGTTCTGTGATATCATTGGAGTTGGTTGGCCTAGGATATGTTCCTAGGATTGTTTTTTAATTTTGGTTTTTCTGTTTTGTAATTCCTTTGATCTCCAAAAAAAAATGTACTTGTATTGATTATATAGTAACAAAGACCAATGCATTAATGGGGATACCTCCATGGTCATACAAAAAAAAAAAAAGACCAATGCATTAATAAGTACGATATACTCATCGATTCTCCAATTTGAAATATAAAAATTAAATGAGAAAAGTTCACCAATGCTCCTGTGGTTTACTTCAGAATCTCTTATGTCTTTGTGATTTTTTTTTATCACATATGCCTTTGTGTTTTGTAAAAAATAAAAAATCACAGGAGCATATGTAATAAAAAATATACTTTTTTATAAATCACAGAGGCATGTGTGATAGAAAAAAATCACATAAGCATAGGTGATTCTGAAGCAAACCACATGGACATTGGTAAACTTTTTCCAAATTAAAAATACTATTATACCGACAAACTTCAACCAATTTGTTTTAACAAAACAACCTGACATGTATGCCCTTATAAACAACATAGAAAATTCGTGTTTTAAGTACCCGCAATTTAAGATGTTGGTTAATATAAATTACTCATAACGTCATTTGATAATTTCGCTATTATAATATGGTTAGATGCAAGTATAGTATTTTTTTTATAACACATTGTTAATATTTATACGCAAGTTGTGCTACATTTATAACTCTTTTATGATGGAAAATTTATTCAAAATAATAATTTAAGGAAAAAATATTTATCATTTTAAAGAATATATAGTTGTATCATTTTAAGTAAAAGAAAGATACAAATTAATATTTTTTTATTTTAAATTTAAATTAAAAATAACTCATTTTTCTCTCCCATAATTTTTATTGCTTGTTTCTTTTTTCACTTAAAATGACACACCTTTTTATCTTTTAAAAAGACAAATATCAAACCCATAATTTAAATAATATCTATATTCAATATATATGACATACTTTCTTTAAGAGATCAATTACTTGATAAATGATATGACTTTACTATTGTATAAAATACAATTGACCGATGAACATTTTCATCATATGGAATATCTTAGCTGTAAATAAATAATTCAACCAAAAAGCTTAAACTGTTTGGTGATGATATTTTTAATTGTTTATATTATTTTTTAACAATAGGCAAGAAAAAATTATAAATAATTATTTCAGTCTAAAAACATAACATGATAAATGATGATTATTTTATCTAACTCTTTAATTTTATTAGAAATATAAGCTGGATTCGTAATCACTCGCTTACAAGCTTTATATGATGTAATGTAATTAATTCAACCCAATTTAATAAGTGGTGATTATATTAATAGTTTTATATTAATTTTTTTTAATTATATATGTGATTAAAAGCTTAAAACTTGAATGTGGTTTTTTTAGATATTCCAATAGATTTATCGTTTCGCGACTAGTCTGATTCGGGGCGGGTCCCGAATTAAGGTTTTAAACTCCTTTCAAAGAAGATACTTGGAAGAATCGAATACAGACTCTCTTCCCCACCAGTTCAGTTCTCTAACGCCAACTGAGTTACCATTATTTGATTTTAAAACTTGAATGATAATTATGGTTAATTACATTCTTCACATATAAATACATGCATATCAGTTTTTTTTTTAATGTATTAAGAAGTTAACTAGGAATTATAACCTTTAACTTGTTAAACACCCTTCTCAATCAATAGAGCAATAATTTCATGGTGCCTAGAGTAAAAATTAACATTTTATGAGGAAATGTAAAGAGAAAATTGGTTGTTAAGAGCAAGAAATGTGAGCTCAAGAAGGTCTATCCATTGAAGTCAGAACTAATGTTATTTTTCACTTTTTGAATAACAATAAACACTAAATTTATAAATTCTTAAAAAAAACAAATATCCATCCTATAATAAATCGTATTCTCCATTTTTCTCTAAGCAATTGCCTTAATTTTAATATCATTTTTGTGCAATGATATTTCTATATGCTATCATACAGTAACTCACATAAGGACATATTTTGCTTTGTTAGTTTCAAACTCCGTCTAAAAAGTAAAAGGATAAAAAAAATTGACACAATGGAAAAAAAAATTTATCACATGCAACGTAAGAAATATATTCCCCTTAAATGAAATCATATAATATCATATTTTTTACAAACAATATAATTATTTTAATATAATATTTTAACACAAGAATGATTATATTGACAAAAAATTTTTTTACAAATTTAAAAAATATATTATATCTTACCAATAACATTTCATTCAAAAATATCTTATCAATAAAATATAATATAATTTATAAAAATTTATAAATAAAATATTTGAAAATATAACCTGCTCTTTTTAATACAATTATAATCTCTAATTCCCATCAATATTTTAAACTTTTTATTGATAACTGCAAAAATTTGAAACGGAGGATGTATGTACTTCTGTAGTTCTGTGGGTTTTGTCGTTATTCAGAAACAAAACAATTTTATTCTGGACAAAAATATATAATATAACAAATAAAATTTAAGACATTAATGATAGTACATGACCCTCTCTCTCTTTCTCTCTCTAGAACAATGCCCCACTAATAACTCTTGTTTGCTTTTTTCCCCATCTTTTTCTATGCAATATCTTTCCTTATAACTTTCTTTTGCCTTTTTCGTTCACTTTCTCACTCTCACTCTCACTCACTGGCTTTGCCTTTCTTCCTGCTAAGAACCCAAAACCCCATAAACATTAACATTAAATCATTAAAAAAAAAAAAAAACACTTTTTTCTTTGCTTTCAGTTTCATGCTTTTTAACATCAACCCCACCCATGAATTAGGGTTTCGTCACCATTACTGAAACCTTGCATTTCCTTAGTTTCACAGCTACTTCGTTCCACCCTTGGGATCAAATGGGTAAGAAACTTTTGTTGTTGGGTCTCCTTACTCTTCAGCTCTTATTTGGAACCCTCTTAGTCTCAGCTGCACCATTCACTACTTCACCTGCAAGTAAGTCCCATTCATTTGTGCTTGTTCTTTTGCTTTCATTCAATCCAAGTTTTTTTCTTTAGCTCATTTTATTCTACTTGGTTCTTTATGTCTTCAGAAATTGTTAGTGGGTTTGTCTCCAATGCTGTGCCTGCTTTCACCAAATGGGTGTGGTCACTCAAGGCTACCACCAAGACGGGTATAGATCTATATCGTAATGCAGAACCACATTTTTGTTCTGTTTTCATGTTTTTCTGGATTTTTCTTGTTCTGGGTGTTGCTGGATTGTGATTTTGAATGTGGGTTTTGGTTGGATGTTGCAGCGGTTTCGAGCCGGTCGATGATGAAGTTCGAGAGTGGGTACAATGTGGAGACTGTGTTTGATGGAAGCAAGCTTGGAATCGAGCCTTTTGCTGTTGAGGTGTTGCCCAATGGGGAGCTTCTGATTCTGGATTCGGCTAATAGTAACGTTTATAGAATTTCCTCCTCACTTTCTTTGTGTAAGTGTGGAAATGTGATTCATAGCTTATGATTCTGAGTGATTGGCCAAATACATGCTATTTTTGTTTTTATCATTTTTGTCAATGCCAATCATGATTACTATATATGCATGCTATTTCAGTGTGATTTGGTGGCTACACATGATATTTTGGAAAAGAATTAAAAATCATCATAACGTTTTGGAGATTAGAGGTTTGATTCTGTTGTTGAGAATTTGTAGTTCAGCTGTCTTTTGCCGGATTTGGAATGCTGATTAGCTAGTTTTTGGCTTAGCTAGCTTGTTGCCATTTTGATCCCTTCATTGCATCACATGAACTAGTGTTTACATAAGATTTAACTTTCTCTGAATATGGAACTTGTAAGCTTCACAACTTTGTTCTTTCAAGGAAGCAGAGTCCTGCGATGGAAGCCTACAGTTGCCACGTTATTCTTGTGGTTAATTCCTGCATTCTTCATTCCATCAGTTTTGAACAGCTTAAAGTGTTGCTGAAATCAATTTTCCCCCGTCTCATTGACTAACAAATTATATGTGGCATCTATCATGTTGTATTCTCCTTTTCCTCAGCTCAACTCCTTTTTGCATTATAGACTTGGGAACAGTTAATTGAAGCGATGTGAATCTAAATAACTTATAGTTAAATTATGTCACATGATATCATGTCAGCCTAGTACATGATTATGAGCTTAATGAAGATGTACCACATGATTTTGATGCATTTTGAACTGTGTCTGTGGAACTTCTCTTTTCAATATAATTGCTCTGTGACAGTTGAACTCCTTGCATGTGTATATTTTATTCACTTTATAGAAATCATGTTTGCGGCAATTCTGCAGATAGCAGACCAAAGCTGGTGGCAGGATCAGCTGAAGGATACTCTGGACATGTTGATGGGAAGCTAAGGGAGGCTAGGATGAACCACCCAAAGGGGATAACTGTTGATGACCGAGGAAATATTTATGTTGCAGATACTGCAAATATGGCAATAAGGAAAATTAGTGATTCAGGTAGAGTAATCTTTCATCCTCCTCTCCCTTTGGGTGTTCCCTTTTATCAATTGTGTCTTGCCTAGTACCTAAATGATAACATTCTAACTTTTCCTTGCTAGAAATTCTGGACAACTTTCAAATCCTTGGCCCAGTAATCTTTGATTGTAAAACTGTCATGTGTGGAACTGTTCGTTCAATTAATATTTCTATATTTTCAGGGGTCACAACTATTGCTGGAGGAAAATGGAGCCGTGGAGGGGGCCACGTTGATGGACCAAGTGAAGAAGCTAAATTCTCTGATGACTTTGATGTGGTTTATGTTGGAAGTAGTTGTTCTCTACTCATCATAGACAGAGGAAACCAAGCCATTAGGGAGATTCAACTCCACTTTGATGATTGTGCCTATCAATATGCAAGGGGATTCCCACTTGGTAAACTAAATCATTTGTGTTTTTTCTGTAAAAAATCTGTTAATTGTTAATTACAAATTTAGATTGATCGTCTTCAATGTTACAGGGATTGCAGTGCTTGTTGGGGCTGGCTTCTTTGGTTATATGTTGGCATTGCTACAGCGTAGACTTGGTTCAATTGTAGCATCCCAGGATGTGAGTGCTTAGTCTTCTTCCTTCTGATGCATTATACCAAATGAAACTAATATAGACTTATGATAACTTAATTAGTCATAAATGAATATGATTCTCCATTGATAGAACTTCTTGAATAAATTAACATTTATAGTGTTGGCAACCACAGCTTTTGATACTGCAGCTACACTTCCATAAAACTACAATCAATAATTCATCTCATGTTTTTTGTAGACTCAGGTTCCAGTAACAGTAATGTCTTCCTTTCCTCCAAGTGCATATCAAAAGCCATTGAAATCTGTCAGGCCTCCTTTAATTCCATCAGAATATGAACCTGATAAGCAGGAAGAAGGTTTCTTTGGATCCCTGGGGAAGCTTCTTGCCAATGCCGGCGCATCAATGACAGAGATAATGGGAGGGTTATTTCCTTCTTTTAGAAAAAAACCCCAGAGCTACCAATTTCAAAGACAAGAACTGCTCCAGCAACCTCAGAAGCAAGTAAATGCTTGGCCTGTGCAGGAAAGTTTTGTGATTCCTGATGAAGATGAGCCACCATCTATTGACACAAGAACCCCAACCCCTCGTAAAACGTATGCTTTCATGTCCAAGGATGCAGAGAAAATGCAACAACTGCGGCAAAGTCGTGCATTCTATAGCGGATGGGATGGAGATCTTCAACAGCAGCAGCAACAACAACAACAGCAACAGAAACAACATCATCATCATCATCGCCATCAGTACCGTTCTTCAACCCCTCACACTTACTATGAGCAGAGCCATGAGACAACCAATGAGATAGTGTTTGGGGCAGTGCAGGAACAGGATGGGAAGCAGGAGCATGTGGTTATCAAGCCTGTGAATTATGGGGAATCACTGTATGAACATCACAATATGCGGTCTCGAATGAGTTCCATGGGTTATACCCCTAGGTATTGAGTATATACAGTTAGGACATTTAGAAGTAACTAAACCTTATTCCAGCTTTGATTGGAAAGGGGAGAATGAAATCAAGTATAGGTAGTAGTATTATGATTTCATCTTTCAGTTGGATCTTAGTAAGGAGAAGCTGGTGATGATCATAATATGAATTGTTTATTAAATTTTGCCAAATTAAGGTTGCTCTAGTGTGTAGTGAAAGAAATTTTGCATGCTCTTTCTTCTGATGATCTTATCAAGTTTAAATGTCAAATAGTTCTATGGAAAAAAACCATTATAACATTTTCTTTCTAATTAATAACTTTTCAATTAATAAGCTTGTGGTTTGGTTTTCCAAAAGTAATTCCAATTAAATTAGTAGTCTAGAATATTAACCAGACGTACAGTAAGTTGAACAAGTTTATAGTAAAATGTAATTTATAAGGAAAACTTTTTTAAAAAGAAAAGGGATTGTTTCAGAATGAGCAAGTAAATGTGTATTTATTGTTAAATTTTATGTGGATTATAATTGTGATGTATTTTAATTTAAATAAGGACGGATATATTGTTAGTTATTCATTTTGAAGACATTTAAATTTAAAGGCAAATTCAAATTTAAAGCAATCTTGGTCAATTTAGAAATTAATATTTTCATACAAAATGGAGAAATGGAGTGAGGTTCATTTCTTTCTTTCTCACTCTCTTCTCATAGAACTCCATTCACTTTTATTATATATATATATATATATATATATATATATATATATATCAGAAAAAATATGTTTGCAGATAAATTATCTGTATTTATTTTCAAAACGACGTCATTTTGAGATTGAAAAATTAAAAAAATATAATTATAAAGACTAATAACTCTAAAATAAATTAAAATTACAAAAATACCATGATTTTCGTCCCAAGACGACGTCCTATTGGGCTTACTACTAGGAGTGTTCATCAACCGATACAAACCGATTCAAACCGCGGTGACCAAACCGAAAAACTGATAAACGAATAAACCGAAAATCGAAAACCGAAAAAAAACTGCAAATTTTAATTGGATTGGATCGGTTTTTGGATGGTTCATGGTTTGATGAAAACCGATCCAATCCAAATCGATCCAATATATTAATTTCCCTCTACCTACTTGGGTCTTCCCCAATCATAACCCAAAAATTTCTAAACCCAAGACCAATTAACCCATCAACTAAACCCAAGAAAAAATCTAGTCACATCTCATCAACAAAATTCTATCTTTGTAGAGCTTCATATCTCATTGCCCAAAAAAAAAAGCTATATTATAGTTTACTAATGAAAAAAAAATTTACAAAGCCAATATATACAAAATATGTTATTTGCACAATAATCATGAAATAAATTTTAGGATTTTCAAAAAACCGAAAACCAATCAAATCCAAACCGAAAAAAATTGGATTGGATCGGATCGGATTTGAAAAAAAATTCAAACCGAATGGATGATTATATGATCAAAGCGAAGGGATTGGATCAAATGATTTTTTCTTCCAAAACCGATCCAATCCAGACCGCGAACACCCCTACTTACTACAGATAACTTAACTGTAGTAACTGCAAAAAAATATAAAAGTTGTTATTTTTGCAGTTGTTGTATGTATAACAATTAAATTTGAAGAATCATAATTATACAAAAGTCGATGAAAACATTAAATATGAAAAATCAATGATCAAAATTAATTGTTGTACATATAATAGAAAATTAATTACTATATATACAGCAGCTGCTGAAGAAATGATTTAATTATATATATATATAGGGTTTTATAAGAGTTATGTTGTAGGAAAAACGATTGTGTAATGTTATAGAGATTCATTTTGCATGCCGTAATTTTTTATTTTTTTTGCTTCAAAATGTGTTGGCCCCACAAAATATTGTATGTGTAAGAAACTTTGTTGTGTCATGTTAAATGATAAATGCAAATCTTATATATATATATATATATGTGTGTGTGTGTAAAATAAGATTTATATGGATGCCAAGGTTAAAAATGGTTGCAGAAAAGTTTCTGAATCAAAACTAAAGTGGCTCTTGATGAGGGAAGGGGATTAGCCAAACAAGTGATTATAAAAAGGTATAAGTCACATCACATCCACCGTGGAATTATGGAACGGTATTTATTAGCGATAGAAACTGCTGATGAGAAGAGTGACACCGACGACTACGTTGACTCCAAATTTCCATTCCACAGACAGGATGGCCGGATTTTTCTAAACTAATTAATTTGTATTACGATGTGACTTGTGGAGTTCCCTACACAACTCATCACAATTTCAATATTTGTTTAATTTAAAGATAATAATATCAAGAGAAAAATTATATTTACAATATTTTTTTTTACAAATTCTTATAAATTAATAAGTAATACATACTACTTGAAAATATACTATCAATAATATATAATGTAATTTATAAAAATTTATAAATATAACGTACCCCTAAAATTACATTTAAGATAGTTTGAACAAGCGCATGAGGTAATAAAATCAATATTTTTTAAAGATATTAATAATTTTAAGAGTTAATCATATAAAAAATAATTCAATAAAAGATAAACAGAGACTAACTTTTTAAAATAAAACTATTAAAAAAATTTAGATCTCAATGAATTCTTTAAGAAAATAGTTTATAATGACATCATAATCTAAGTGGAAACAAGTTGATTGTTTAATTTAAAATGTGTTCTATACTTAATGATCAAATTTACTTCTCTTAATTTACAAACCCAGACTTAACTTCACAACCTCTACCATCGTATAAACATTCTGACAATAGTTCCAACTAGATAACCTAGCATTTATATATTTGCTTGATTGTTTAACATAAAGCAATACATAACATTGTACTGTCTTACATATAACTTCATCTTCGCTTCACAATACCCAAATTACACACAGATGACCCTTGATGAAGATTGTTATCTTTATGTGCCTCTACAAAACCCGTGTTAGACTGTATCATGACATCAGCTCCATGGTTGAAGGTTGTGTTGGTAGAATCCACAAGGTGTTCATCAAAACTCATCAAGTCCTTTAATTGGTCATAATACTTGCCTGACTTTGTTATCTCACCACTATTGCAGGCATCTAAATCTAGCAAAGACACAGATTTTAGATGTGGCCTTGGAGAAACTATGTTGATTCTAAACATTAGAACAAGATGAGAGAGACATAATCTCCAAAGTCTCATCAAGGTTGTGTAAACATAGGAGCAACTACAGCTAGCAATTGCGCTTTTGATGCCGCAGTAGAGTGTCAGTGCTAACTTCCCCAGACTGGTTAGGCAATGCTTCCATGTCTCGATGAAATGGTAAGGGCTGGAACCTTTCTGTCTACATAATTAAAGAAGGTATAAGTAAACCATTTGCTATATAAAAATTGTCATAACATGTTGGGAGGAACTTACATGACGGAATATATATGGGCGGATAGCAATCCCAATTACTAAGCCAAGTAGACATGAAAGTCCTAACCCTAGAGTCCAAATCATAACTGCACCTAGCCCTGGACAAAAGAGATAGTTTTTTCATTATAATTGAGTCATAGTTTCTAGGTAGATAAAAGTCAAGAGAATAATTATGCTACAGGATATTTATATAAAGCCCATGTAGCTAGGATGGAGAAAAAATCTCACTCAAGAACAAAAGTAGAGATGAAATCCAATGGAGAGAAAATACCACATTTTGAATTGCTTTGTTGGAAATTCGATGGAATCCAGATCAATTTCATTAATGAAAAGGCATCAATGTATAGACACATGAATACAAGTTGATGAATACTAAGTTGTTACCACATATTGCATCTAATCTAAACAACTAAGCGACTAACAAAAACAAGGATAGACATAGAAGTTGTTTACAAAATTCAAATATTATCCGTATCCATATCCCTAATATACTCTAAAATTAATCATCAACAAGAATCATGGGAAAAAAGCAAACGGATAGATCTAAAAATTCCTTTAGGAAAACAATTAAGCATCATGGGGTTGAAGTTTAATAGAAAAAATGAAGGAAAGTATGGACAGGGTGAATATCATTGTCTTTTATTAATGTTTTATTAAAGTAAATGAAAGCAGCAGAAGCATAAAAAATACCCTTGATACCTAACAGGTGGAAGAGTAAAATTTTAGTCAAGGTTGTTTTTTGGAATTGTGCAAAATATAAATAAAGCTAAAAGGTGACCACTTGAAAAGCATGACTAAATGCAAATTTTAAATTCAATGATGGATTTAGTGAACAAACTTATTAATTTGTGTAAGATTGATTGATTAGCATATGCTTTAACCTAAATGGAATAGCAAATAGAAATTAAACACACAAAAATGTGAAAAAGAAAAGTCTATATCATTCATATATGCCCCAAATTCTAAAACCTCACCAGATTTAGATCCAAAGGTACAATCTTCCTCCTTCAAATTAATCTGATGGACCAATTGATGCCCATGATCTAACACCAGCAAAGCACATTGGCCAGGAATGAAAGTCAGATCAAAATTATTTGAAAATGATACATTTTGGGCAGATCCACCCTTGCTGCTTGACTTTTCTGAGAAACCTCCAGCAATTGTGGTAACACCTAGTCAGGACCAAAACAAACAAAAGGAATGTCCATTATTTGCTGATAACATAAGACAACACAGCCATCTAAAGTTATTACAAAATTCACCATCCCAACAAAGCATTTAAGAGACGTAGGAAAAAAGAATGGGTTAGGCGCGTAGGGCTACACGAGCGATTTTTTCCCTTCTGCTAGGGTTTTTGTCAGCATCTCGATCTCAGCCTTCAATGGAGGTTGCGTCGGATAACTTCAATGCTTCTTTGTCAATGGAGAGAAAAAGTACCAAGAGAACCAAGAGTGGGGAGGAGATTCTTAAGGAGACCCGTATGAGGGAGAAGGTGCAGGAATTCCAAGCTGGATCTGCTGGGTTGGTGAAGCAGAGATCCTTCGCGGAAGTAACCGGTGCGGAGAATGGGGTTGCTGGAGACTCACTCCCCTGGTTAGCTGAGGATGAAGATTCAGAATTAGAACCCTTAGACCCAAGCTTGGGTGAGATATCAGAATGGGGGTTTCAGACGGTGTTTAAGGAGGATGGATCGGTTGAGATCAGAAGCAATCAGGAATGAAAGTCAGATCAAAATTATTTGAAAATGATACATTTTGGGCAGATCCACCCTTGCTGCTTGACTTTTCTGAGAAACCTCCAGCAATTGTGGTAACACCTAGTCAGGACCAAAACAAACAAAAGGAATGTCCATTATTTGCTGATAACATAAGACAACACAGCCATCTAAAGTTATTACAAAATTCACCATCCCAACAAAGCATTTAAGAGACGTAGGAAAAAAGAATGGGTTAGGCGCGTAGGGCTACACGAGCGATTTTTTCCCTTCTGCTAGGGTTTTTGTCAGCATCTCGATCTCAGCCTTCAATGGAGGTTGCGTCGGATAACTTCAATGCTTCTTTGTCAATGGAGAGAAAAAGTACCAAGAGAACCAAGAGTGGGGAGGAGATTCTTAAGGAGACCCGTATGAGGGAGAAGGTGCAGGAATTCCAAGCTGGATCTGCTGGGTTGGTGAAGCAGAGATCCTTCGCGGAAGTAACCGGTGCGGAGAATGGGGTTGCTGGAGACTCACTCCCCTGGTTAGCTGAGGATGAAGATTCAGAATTAGAACCCTTAGACCCAAGCTTGGGTGAGATATCAGAATGGGGGTTTCAGACGGTGTTTAAGGAGGATGGATCGGTTGAGATCAGAAGCAATAGGGAGGCCAGAGCTAGGATGTGTCAACGCTGGAAGAATGCGCTCATTGTCAAACTCCTTGGAAGGAAAATTGGGGTGGGTTTCATGAAAAGGAAGCTTGAATCTCTCTGGGCAAAGTCAGGCAGCATCATGGTGGCTGACCTTGGCAATGATTTTTTCTCAGTACGGTTCAGTAGCTTGGAGGATCTCAATCTGGCAATTACGGGTGGACCCTGGGTTATTTTGGGGCATTACTTGGCCTCGCGTAAGTGGGAACCCCAGTTTGATCCAGAGAAAGCTAATGTTCACAAGGTGGCAGCATGGGTTCGGTTACCAGGAGTACTGTGAATTCCCATTCCTCAACCAACTGGGAACAGTGATTGGGAAGGTGATTAAGGTGGATAGGACCACTTCGATAGGGGATAGAGCTCGTTTTGCAAGAGTGTGCATCGAGGTTGACCTCTCTAAGCCAATAAGGGGGGAATATATTCTGGATGGGAGCAGGAAGAAGGTTGAATACGAAGGACTTTTCTTGATTTGTCTGAGATGCGGGAGGTATGGACACAACTCGAGTTCTTGTCTGGAGTTTGCCAAACCTGCCTCACCAGCAAAGGCTGAGAAGGAATCTGATCAACCAATGGAGAATCCCTGTGCTCAGGGAGTAGGAGCCTGGATGGTAGTCCAACGCAGAAAGAATAATCAGCAGAATTATTATAAGAAAAATCCTCTCATCAGTAGAAGATTCGGAGAGGATATCTCTAACAAGAAGGAATCTATGGGAACTGGGTCAGTAACCAGCAGGGGACCATCTGGTCAGGAGGGTGTGCAAGATAAGCAGCCTGAAGTCAGCCCACCTATGGTGAAGGAGCAAAAGGAGAATGCAGGCTCTATGGCCAAGGCTCAAGCCTCTGGTGGGGGGATGGAGTTTACTGCTGCAGCTCCCTCTCTGGCTAAGAAATCATCAGGTAACAAGGTTAGTTCAGTAGGAACTAAAAAGGCTGTCCCAAAGAACCTTTCTGCAAAAGGTAAAGGAGCTATTCTGAGTTCTAAGACTGTTTCTGGCACTAGCAGTGGTGTGTCCACCCGCAAATCAAACCTGAGCTCTTCCCAACCTGCTACCAATTTGAAAGGGAAGTTATGGAGTGATTTAGTGATGGAAGATGATTGTTTCTGGTCATAAGGTAAAATCAGTCACCATAGCAAGGATCTAGCTATTGATGAGGGGGGATGTCAGGACCCTATAACAAACCTGGAACCTCCTGACTCTTTGGGTAGTGAAGCTCCTCTCAGGGCTGGTTGCCAAACAGGTATGGATGTGGAAATTTCCCATTGTAGTGCTTTAATTAATTCCATGATTGTAGAGTGTGGTGATGTCTGTGACAAGGAAATGACAGATCTGAGTAATGCTAGGAATGATAGTCAGGGCCAAAGTTGCAAGGACTTGGTAACCTTGCACTCATCTTCGAATTCTTTATGAATATTCTCACATGGAATTGTAGGGGAGCTGCTAAAAAACAGTTTAAGGGTACCTTTAATAGGTTTCGCAGGAAGCATAAGGTTGGGTTAGCTCCTATATTAGAACCTAGGGTGAGTGGTAATAAAGCTTTGAGGATAATCCGAAGCTTGGGGTTCTCTAATCATCTTATTGTTGATGCTCTTGGTTTTTCGGGAGGTATCTGGATTGTGTGGAACAATAATGAGGTGAAGGTATCCCTCAGGGTCAAACATGATCAGTTTATTCATTGCAGGGTGGAGTTCCCTGGTTTGAAGGGGTTCTTTTGGACAACAGTATATGCTAGCCCTCAAGAGGATAAACGACAAGTACTTTGGGAGGAGCTGAAGCATCTGAGCAGGAATATGAATGAACCCTGGTTGTTGTCTGGAGACTTTAATGAGATTTCACATGCTTCAGAAAAAAGAGGGGGTGGCCAGGTGGATGTGAATAGATGTAACCACTTTGCTAATGTGTTGTGTACTTGTGGGGTGATGGATCTCGGAGGGGGAGGCAATAGATTTACCTGGAAGGGCCCTAAATTCTTACATCTTGATAGAGTTTATAAAAGATTGGATAGGGAAGTTGCAAATGAAGAGTGGAGAGCTTTGTTCGAGGATGCTGATGTAGTTACTCTTCCCAGACTTTTTTCGGATCATTGTCCTATTCTGGTTAGTTTGGATCAGGAAGTCAGCAAGTGGAGGGAGAGACCCTTCAGGTTTTTGGCTACTTGGCTGAAGGACCCTAGGTTCTTTTCTTTCTTAAAGGACAATTGGGATCCTAATGCTGAGTTTCTGGTGAGTTTGAAGACCTTGATCCCTTTTCTTAAGGAGTGGAATAAGAAGGTTTTTGGGTTTGTTGAGCTAAGGAAGAATAGATTTATAGCTAGGCTGGAAGGAATCCAAAGGGTAACCAGTCTAACTAATAGCTCTCATCTTGAAGTTTAGGAGGACAAGTTGAGGAAAGAACTATCTGTGATCCTGGATCAAGAAGAGCAGATTTGGTACCAGAAATTTAGAGGGGAGTGGATAAGAGGGGGTGACAGGAACACTAAATTCTACCACACCAGCACTGTGATAAGGAGGAAAATCAACAAAGTCATTAAGCTTCAGGATGATGAGGGGCACTGGGTTACTTCTGATGTGGAGCTTATAGATCTAGCTAGGGGGTTTTATCAAAAATTATTTAAGGAACCCCCAGATGAGCCTGCCTGGTTCCAAACCCAGAATTCCTGGCCTTCTATAAGGGATAATCAGTTGGGAAGTTTGAATTTGGAAATATCATTGGAGGAAGTGAAGAGGGCTTTCTTCCAAATGCCTCCCTTGAAAGCCCCAGGACCGGATGGCTTTTCAGCCATTTTCTATCAGAAGAACTGGGAGTTGCTTAAGGAGCAAATCTGTAAGAGTATGCAGGGCTATATGAAGCATCCAGCTCAGATTAGAGAGATTAATCACACCCTAATTGTCTTGATTCCTAAGGTGGAAAGGCCTTGCTTTTTGAAGCAATTCAGACCCATTGCACTCTGTAACTCAGTGTACAAGGGGTTCGGCAAGATTTTGGTTAACAGAATTAAGCCCTTCCTAGACAAGCTCATCTCTCCTAACCAGGTAAGCTTTGTTCCTAAGAGGCACATCCAGGATAATATCATCATTATGCAAGAACTTATTCACTCAATGCATAGGATGAAAGGTAAAAAGAGTTTCTTGTCCATCAAGATTGATCTTGAAAAAGCTTATGACAAGCTTAGCTGGAAGTTCATCAACTCTGTTTTGGAGGAATTAAAGTTTCCGAAGGCTATGGTTGAGGCAATTATGGGATGTGTAACCAGTCCTGCTTTAGAAATCCTTTGGAATGGAACTAGAACTGATAAATTCCAATCTCAGAGGGGTATTAGGCAAGGGGATCCACTATCTCCCTACCTTTTTGTCCTATGCATGGAGAAGTTAACCCATTTGATCCAGGATGAGGTGGCAGAGGGGAATTGGCATCCTATAAGGGCTGGTAGATCTGGTCCTCCCATTTCCCACCTTATGTTTGCTGACGACATCATTTTATTTGTTGAAGCCTCCCTTAGCCAATTGAACTGTATAGTTAATTGTCTGGAGAAGTTTTCCTTGATGTCTGGTCAGAGTGTGAGTATTGAAAAGTCTTGCATCTATTTCTCTAGGAATACTCCTCAGGTGGATGTGAACTCCATCTCTGAGATCAGTGGTTTCAAAAAAGTGGATAGTCTGGGCTGTTATTTGGGTACTAGGATGAGACATGGGAGAATGAACAGAAATCATTTTGCTGCTGTTATAGCTAGAGTCCAGGATAGGCTGCATGGATGGAAGTCTAAATGTCTCTCTTTGGCCGGTAGTGTAAAGAACCTTGGGATACACCATTCCAAAAGCTAGCTCAAAGAGTGGGAATGCCCAAGGTCTTATAAAGGCCACATTAGTTGCACATACAACCAATGTGGGACTATATATCTCAACACGCCCCCTCACACGAGAGCCCACTGGGCTTGAAGAGTGGAAGATGCAACAGGCCCAGCCTACTTGTGCTAAGAAAGTCCACAAGAGAAAGTGGGGGGCGGCGAGGCTCTGATACCATGTAAAGAACCTTGGGATACACCACCCCAAAAGCTAACTCAAAGGGTGGGAGTGCCCAAGATCTTATAAAGGCCACATTAGTTGCACATACAACCAATGTGGGACTATATATCTCAACAGTTTGAGACTTGCTAGGGACCTGAGGATTCATAGAGTGTGGCTTGGATGCGACAGCCAGGAAGCTATTAGCGGTGCAGAAGACACTGCTATGCCCTGTGGTTATTCTGCTCTAATAGGCAGCATTCAGGAAATAGCTCAAGATTTTGAGTGCGTTCAGATAGAGTATATTTCCAGGGATTTTAACATTTGTGCTGATGGTTTAGCCAAGGGAGGTTTGAACTTACAGGGTGGTGAGTTGGGGGTGTTTGAATCTCCCACTGATAGTTTTAAGTCCGTTTGGTTTTCTTTTTGTACTAAACTGATGATGGAGCAGGTTTCTGTGAACATGCATCAGCTCTTTGTGTAGTGCTTCTGGGCTAGGCCCTCCACTTATACCAAAAAAAAAAAAAAACAAAGCATTTAAGAAATATTTTTTAAGCTACTCTTAAAAAAGGGCAAATCTCAATGTACAAAGTAAGTTCACGATGCTAAAGGCTGAAACTTTATATGCAAAACCAAGCAAAACACACAACACGGAACCAAACTAAACTATGCAGAGTTATTTACAAACATACCATTGGCGCTGACTTTCCTTATCACCTGGTTATAAATGTCAGCAACATACACATTCCCTCTTAGATCAACGGCAAAGCTTTTGGGTCTGTCAAACTGAGCTGAACCCAATTCACCATCGGAATACCCGAGAGACCCAGTTCCACAAAACCTAGTGAAAACGCTTTCTGCAACAGAAAAACGAAGAATAACCACGAAAAGATCGAAACTTTGGCACACCCCAGAAAATTAGAAAGAAAGAAAAAGTCAGAACCTTGGGATATGGGGAATTGAACGGTGTAGAAAGCGCTGTTTGGGAAATCGAGGACAATGAGATCGGAGGAACCGGGTCGCTGGAGGATGGAATGGGGCTTGATGCTGACCTTGTGGCCGTCGAGTACGGTGGCGACGGTGAAACCGTCTTCTGGAATGACAACTTTTTTGGTGGCGTGAACTGAAAAATGAAAAAAAAAATGTGAAAAAGAAATAATAGGGTTTAATAATAAATAAAAAAAAGGTACTAAATGAATGGTGATTATAATTACCGTGAAGGGAGAAGAGGGTGAAAAGGAGGAAGAGAAGGACTGTAAGGAAGGTAGAAGAAGAAGCCATGCCTCACTCCTTGGCTCTGCTGCGAGAGTAAGCAAAGCTTCACTGATTATTAACTGTCTTTTTTTGAGTTTCTCTTTTCTCTTATGCCAAATACTTGTTTAATGGAAGATCTTAAAAATAATTAAGTTTATATGTGAAGTTTGATTAGTAATATAAAGACTTGTAAATATATTTATAGTAATTTTAATTAAAATTAAAGTTTTTATTTAAATTGTTTTATTAAATAATTTTAAAGTAACTTTGAAATTAAAATAATTATATAATTATTGATGGGATAAGATATTATCTTACTTCTATTATCGTTATATTAAAATCTTAATTAATATTTATTATTTTTTTATTTCTTAAGATTTTGATTTAATCGTATTAAAAATAAATAAGAAAATAAAAATAAGAAAAAGAAATTATCCCTAAACTTTAACTTTAATTTTTAAGATATTATTTTTAATTTTAACTTTTACCGAACTTTAAAAATTAAAAATTCCGTCAAAATATTGTCAAGAAGAATTCCTTGTAGCAGAAGTAGATGGAAAAGTTTCATCCGCATATTAAAAGCACAAGCTGCCACATTAAGCAAGCCTTAAACTTTGGGTTTCAAGTTAGGGAATCCCTCAACAACTTCACATGATTGGCCCGTTGATTCACATGATTGACCCGTTGAAACACTCCTGGGCGTTTGTTAGAGAGTTTTTTTTTTTATTCAAAAATTTCAATTTTTAAAAATATGATTTCCACTCTCAGTTTATGATAATATTCAAAAATTTAAAATTTAGAAAAATTCAATTTTCCAAATTTTTTGGAGAATGACGCATACCAAACGACCTACTAAGAAAAGTTTTGGTGACCAAGACTAAAATTTAGTGGTCCCTTTTTTGAATTTTGGTGGTAATGTTACACCAAAACTATTCTCCTCACCGAGACCATTGCTAGAAAAAATATGATAAAATCATTAAAAAGGGATTAATATGTGTTACAAAAATCATTTCAATAATATTTACAATTTCATGAAACGTACATAAGAAATTGAAACATACAATAAAACATAATTAAAGCTTACAATACAAAAATATGTGAATGCAATAAAAAAAATCCGAGCTCATTGTTAGGAGCAAACTTTGGGTACTACCGTCGTAGGTAGTATCGTTCCCAAATTAGAAAGCAATAGGGGCATAAAAGGAAATGGATAAAAAATGAGGGATTAAAATGGAATAAAAATTTCCTGTTTTAGTAAAATGATGTACCTAATTTGGTATAATTGTAGTATTTAAAAAATTTCCTATTGTTAGACATTGTGTTCTTAAGACAACATTACCCTTTCCATGGTGCCAAAAATTCATGGACAATTGTTTCTCATGATAAAACAGATTACTTCTATTCTCGTGGTATATAATAGTCTCATCGAACTCAATATATGTCTGACTAATCGCACTAGAATAATGGAATGCAAATGCAAAGAAAAAATTATACTAAAATTCTAAATTTCTATTTATTTACTGAAAACATAGGGTCGCGATTAAAAAGACACACATATTCAAGGATGAAACGACACATTCATTCATCGACGGAACGACACATCTTTTCAAAGCAAACTTCTTATTCATAAATAATATAATTAATTTCAACAATCCCCACATGAATAAGAAGTTCAACTATTGAGACCATATGCATATGAGACTCAAATGCAATGTGCGATTGATCAATGAGAAACAACTGCATCGGGATCGGTGGATGCAATGCCTTGTAACCGTCTCTAGTGAGACTTATCGGATTTACCCAGTCAATTGGTGGACGCAGTGCCTTTTAATCGTAGCCTTTGTGTGTAAACAAAGACAATAGGAAACACACATTTGTTCCCTGGACATGGTTGGTGGACACCCCTTGGTTCTGCAGGTGCGTTAGAGAATGCGACCTTGTAATATTCTTATAGAAGCGGCCCTCACTTCACACACACATAGGTGATTTCTGGCGGTGCATCTCAACATACACCATCTGAACACATCATAATCAGAAATCATTAAAAGTCTACTTGCTTACCCTTTAATTATGCACAACCTTGTCTAGGAATGAGTATGAGTTTAGAAAAACTCCACAGTGCTTATCCATCAATCATCACTTGGTTTTCTCTTTGAACCTAGTTTGTGGGATCACCACTCTTCTAGGTAGAGTGTCCGCAATGATCAATATTTTAATGGCCTTAAACCTATTCATTTTGACAGATTATACATCATCTCTCTAGTTACACTTTTAGTCAACAGATCTATAATAATACCACTAGAGAGTAACTGCCTCACGGTATCATGTCTCCAATATATATATCGAGACTTACAATTATACATAACATTCCTTACCTTTCCGATTAGTACCTGACTATCACAGTGTATGCAGAGTGCAGGCACTAGCTTCGGCCATTTCAGAATATCCTCAAGGAAGTTACACAGCCCCTTGGCTACCCTACCGACTCTATCCGAGGCAATAAATTTTATTTCATGGTCGTCCTTGTAATACATGTTTTCTTAAATGATTTCCAAAACACAACACCCCACCAAGTGTGTACACATACCCACTTGTGGATTTGGTGTCACTAGAATCAGTGATCTAATTTACATCACAATCAATATGCACATTTATTATGTGCACATCCATTGAACACACAGTCCACTGTCTTTGGTTCGATCTAAATTCTTTTCGGTTTTGGAATTGCGACCTTTGTCAAACACCCTCACACTTCAAGATAATTCAAGGTAGGCTTCCTATTTTTCCATATTTGTGGGGGTACTCTATTGACTATATAGTGTGTTATTAAAATTCCCCCCACAAATGTTATGGTAAATGATATGCCTCTAGAATATATATGATTTTAAGCCAAAAAGAGAAAGAATCTTGATCAATCTTGAATAAAAAGGGCTACAATTGTTATTAAATTGATGAATCCCATTCAGATCTCTTGTCACTAATTTTCTTACAATTTTGTAGGAAAATGAACCAGAAAGAAGCCCAATTGGAAGCACCAGGCTGCAGCCCCGCGCTATTGGCGCGTGTATGGCGCTGTCAACTCCATAAGCAACTTTCAAGACAGAACCTCCACGCTACTAGCGTGGCACTGGCGCTAGCAGCGCCAACCATTCATGCTAACCGTGTTGTCAGTGCGGGAACTACGCTAGTAGCGCGAGCCTGCTGTATGCTAAATAAAACTCCCACGCTATCAGCGTGAACTTGGCGCTAGTAGCGCGGGAGGTACGGGAAAATCTTTAACTTATCTCAAATTATATCAAAGGAGATTTGACCAAGATATACAATGAAGATATGATCAAGATTTCTAAGCAAGGGCACAGAGTCTATAAATAGAGACTCAGACCCCCAGAGACAAACATCTTTGGCTGGAGAGAATTGTGAGAACAGAGAATTGAGAGAATTCTTAGAGGTTCACGCTAGAGATCAGGATTCCACCGAAGTTGAAGACCGAAGAACATTGATCCTTCATCATCCTCTTCTTTTCTTTTCTTGTTATGAATTATTTTTACTATTTTAATTTGTTAAAGCCAGATATGTCCGGCTAAGTTCTTTTTGTAGTTGGGATCACAGACCCGATGTGAATCCTTTATATTTCCTATATTGTTTTTATAAGTTAATTAGTTTAGATTGTTTTATTCTGCCTGTGTTAATTTTTTCATATCCTGATTATAACTGATCACTCCAATTATAAGGTTTTGAGGGTTAGGGCTCACAATAGACATATTGGGGTTTTAATCTGGACAATGGTAGAATAACAATTTATGCATGACCTAGACATATGCTTACATAGATTGCAAACTTTTAATTCATTTGCTTAATGCTTAATTCAAGAGGGATTACTAGGACACTAGGATTCTAATTGGGTTAAATGGTTGAAATCACTAAGACATTAGGGTTCAACTAATTTATAGAGAAATATGAATTGTCTGAGCAAACAAATTAGTTAATTATAAAATACAATATAGGAATATAAGGGAGGATCGGAGGTGAAGTGCATCCTAGCTACAGTCTTTTTATAATTTTTACTCAATGTCATATTTTCTTGTTATTCTAGCATGCTTTTAAATATTATTATTTTTAAAATTCTGTTTTTAAATTACAACAACCACTCAAATTCACAATCAAACTAATTTTTCTTCCAAATCAAGGGGAATAGTTAAATTAGTACTTGGTGCATTAATTCTCGAGGGTACGGTATTTACTTATTACTTTTATTACTTGAAACGAATGGTATACTTGTCGATTTCGCAACAAGTTTTTGGGGTCGTTGCCGTTAAAATAACAGATATACCAAATAATAAATTCCAATTGAACCATACAATAATACACAATTTTCATGTCATTTACAACATTCAAAGTCATTATATTGACTTTGGTTATGCCATCACTAAGATAGCCCTCAAGAGTTCACATAATATCAGGTACTTCATTTGATATAAACCTCTTATATCCATTAATAGCACAAAGTGAATTTTGGCAAGAATTGTTATTTTCCTAAATCATACTGTCACAGTACACATAAAGACTTTATGATATTACAAGAATTGATTATTTTCCATCATAAATTATATAACAATCAATTCACATCATAAATACTTTTCATCCCAAATATATGTTATTCACATATAATATTTTGAACAAATACCATTTTTGGTCCTCAAGAAAAAATACAAGGCCGAAGTTAATCCCTAATAAAAAAAATAGTCACGTGATCCTTAGTAAATTCAAACGCAGGTCACGTTAGACCTTCTGTCAGTGATGATTGAATGGCGTCTATAAAGTTGCTCATGTGTAATGTTAGTAATCTGAGTCACATGCCATGTAGGATGGGTAAAACGACGTCGTGGCTTAGGGTGTCACCCTACCAACTTAAGAGCAACCCACGTGGAATGACTAAAACGACGTCGTGCGCAAGGCTGTAGGGCTTCTAACTCCAGAGCGCATCTCCCTTCATTTTGCTAACTCCAGTTCTAACGTTGAGTTAAATTACTGCTTAGGGTTTTGAATGAGGAAGTTTTTTTTTGTTTAATACATCTGAGTCAAATTGCTAATTTTGGTCATCTGTATTTTGTAATTTAGGGTCTAGGGTTTTGTTGTCTGTATTTTGTATTTAGGATGAGAAGATGAATTTTTCTTATGGGATAAGGGGGTCAAGTGGAAACAGCTTAGTTGGGGCTAGAACCCAAAGAATGAATGCTGCTCCAAAGTGTAAATTCGGGAGACCAAGTGTTGTGTATACCTCCAAAACTCAGAGAAACCCAAACAGAGCATTCTTCGAGTGCCTCAATTTCAAGGTGAGCATTTTATGGACAACTATAAACATTATCTAACTTTCAGTGGTTTAATTCATTTTTATTAAAGTTGATTGTTATTCTGAGATTGGTTTCATTTGCTGGTAGAAGAAGAAGCCATATTGTGATTTTTTCATATGGGCGGATGATGTTACAAATGATACCATGGAGCTGGAAAATTGGAAAATTAATAAGCTAGAGTTGAATGTAGCTGAAATGGAGTTCAAGTTGAACTCCATGGGCTTGAAGTTGAATGATGATTTATAAGTGAAGGTGAGTGAGCATCTGCTATGAAAAATAGAGCAGAGATTGATTTTATAAAATATAAGAAGGCATTGTAGCTAGAGTGCACTCACCATATGATCTCACCTTTTACTTTGGATTGATTTAAAATACTCATTTAAATAAATACTCAGATAATTTATCATCTAAAAATTATTAAATAGTTAACCCTCAATTCCTTGCAAGATTAACCCTTTAACTCCAATTGGAACCCCAATTCCTTGCAATGTTCCTCATGGAATTAAGCAATGAACACGATAAATTAAGCATCTGCAATCAAATATACGTCTATTCCTAGCACGCATACAAATTATTATCCTACTCCATTTCAAGGTCAAAAACCCCAATATTCCTATCTGGGGTTCTAACCCTCAAACTATCATCAATTATTAGATTGATCAGTTCTAATAAAGAGGATATAAATTACACACAGAGTAGAGATAAAGATAAATATATAAATGAGTAAAAATAAATCAATCCGTTGTAACAAGGGTTCACATAGGGTTTGTGACCCTAACTACAATAAAAAGTACTTAGCCAACCATGGTCATGGCTGAAATATCAATATTCAACATAAACTGGAAACTGGAAAATAGAAGAACAAAGATGAACAAGAAGATCTCTCGGAAGCTCTCTCTCTGAAGCACGACGGTTTTCTCCAGAATGCGATACCTAATTCTGTGAAGAGCACCTTTTTTAATAGCCATCTTTTCTTCTCCCAAGTTTACCCTTTTAAAAGCACGGTACTGTAATTCCAGCAAACTGGCACGGGTCCACACCACTGTGGCGCTGGACCGCGCCAGATCCCTGGTAATTGGCCTATGCACGTGGCGCTAACTTGTGCCAGTGTGGCGCTAACTTGCGCCACTTCTCTGGAATTTTGGCCCAGCAATTCGATGTAGCATGGAATTTCCACCCGTGTAGAGTCGCATCACCAAGCTTTTCGTAGTTTCCACCTCTTCTCCCTGTTAAACATAACAAATAGGTGAGAAATGTCATTGAGATGGAAAAGTCAATATAATAAACAAATATGTATAAAAAGTGCTCTTCTATGACTTAATTCTCATCATTTTTAGCCAGGAAAACTACATCTGCCAGAGACACATCAAACTATTCCCAGATTTAAACGTTGTTGTCTTCAGCAATGTACAAGACTCAATCCAAAAACAATCAATTAATCCAGCTTAACAATACATAGACACTCTCAGACACAATATACTAAGCATGACTGATCCAATATCATAAATTTCCAACAATGTCATCAGCTTCTTAAAGATACAAGTCTACACTGATTACCCCTCACAAAGATAAATAATATTCACTCAACACTCAGTGTTTTAGGGTATCATGAGCACTCAATCCAACACACCTATAACACTACCATAAGCTTGATCATATTCTCAAAATTCTTAAAAATGAAGAATCAAACACATGCACCAGTTGATCAAAAGGACTTCACAGGTTGTATCTTGGTCGGGTTAAAAGGGTAGGAATATATGGATAGTAGCTCAAACAACAATGAGATTGAAAAACTGATACTCTTTCAATTTAGCACATTCAACTCAATGATTTTGCTCCACTAACATTCCCACAGAATTTCGGGAATTAATTCCTTTTAGCCACCTTTTATGCATATTCATCCCTTTTCTTTTTCTTTTTTTTTATAAGGGTACAAATGAAATATGCATCCCCTAATCACTTAACCTTTGTGGAGCTTACCTCAACTTCTTTGTTTTATTTTCAACACATCAGTAATTCAATCTCAATCAAGGTAAGTCACATAGATGTAAGCTAAGCCATAAATCAGGCCATAGGTCATTTATCAACAAAAACACGGTACTGTAATTCCCGCAAACTGGCGCGGGTCCGCGCCAGATCCCTGCTAATTGGCCTATGCACGTGGCGCTAACTTGCGCCACTTCTCTGGAATTTTGGCCCAGCAATTCGATGTAGCATGGAATTTCCACCCGTGTAGAGTCGCATCACCAAGCTTTTCGTAGTTTCCACCTCTTCTCCCTGTTAAACATAACAAATAGGTGAGAAATGTCATTGAGATGGAAAAGTCAATATAATAAACAAATATGTATAAAAAGTGCTCTTCTATGACTTAATTCTCATCATTTTTAGCCTGGAAAACTACATCTGCCAGAGACACATCAGCATAAAATGAAGATTAATGAGCACCAAATCAAGATTAACGAGCTATCAGTAAAGATGGTTGCAAAATTGTATAGGGTGGAAAAGGGAAATAAGGCATGTGGGTAGGTGTAGTAGGGTGTTAGTTGCTACCATTATTGTTTTGCTCATCATATGTATTTATGTAGGAAGTAGGCTAGAATGAGAAAAAGTGTACCTATTGTAATTGCTGTTGAAAGGTAGTCATGAAATGGAATGGAATGACTACTGTTGAAATGTAATGAAATGTTGTTTCTCATTGTTTTTTTTTTTTTTTTATATATTATACAATGGATTTGATTTTGATATGATTTGGTTTAGGATGTTGATATAAATTTTGCATGATTTCTTCTGTCGAAATTGTATAAGGTCTTTATTTTGAGGGAAATTTTATCCTGATTTGTGAGTGAGGAAAACTGTAAGTGAGGAAAATTATAGCAGCTGCTTACGGCAGCATGGAAATGGACTATGTTGTGGCCAACAATAGTGGAAACAACATTGGTGCTGTAAAGTAAGTATGATAGTTGAAATAGTCCATATGTTGCAGAATGATTTCGTGAGGATGAATGTTCGATATGTAGCAGCTGTGTAGTAAAGTAATTTACTAGAAATTTACAAACCAATACATCAAAACAGATTGAGATGGAGTGGTTGCCATTTGTTTAAGCATCTTTTTGTCAGCATCAGCATCAGCATCAACATTATGGTGATTCATATCCAGAATCTATACAAACCAATTTAGTTTCCAATTTGCCTAATTGCTTAATGGAACCCACTACATTATTCCTCCTCGTACATATCGTTAACTTAAAGCTAAAAAAGAAAACAAATTGATAATCATTTATTTTTTGGAAATATAGAAACTAAGCATGAAGAACCCAGTCCAGTAGAAGAACTGAAGAAGAAATGCAACTTTGGGAGATTGGGTAGGATTCGTATGCAGAAATTTAGAGATACAAAGGATGGATGAGATTTGGATGAAAGAAGAATGAAATCAACATGGGGAGTTAGGATTTTTCAAAAACAAAGAAGAATAAATGCAGCGAGGGAGTAGCATTCATAACTCGTGCTCACGATTTGGATTAGTAACATTTCAACTGCAAAGCAAAACAAAAACAGTTCAATATGGTAAAATATATATATCCAATTATTTTTTTGGATTGGTAAAGAAACTGTTCTTGAAAATAAAAAGTGGTTTGACATAAAATCCGATTTTAGAAAAATTTATTTTTTAGATGTGGACTGATTTGATTATGGATAAGTTTGAATTTCTTTGGACATTTTAAACACCCCTAACGAACTCTATAATGCATTGTCAACCTGTTCTTTAAACCTTGATTCCACAATAATGTCCCTATCGTGATAAAGTCCAACTCACAGTGTAGGGATGCTAAATGTTCTAAGAAATATTATCGATATATGAAACAACTGCGTTGGTTGCTAAGATGAGGGACACTTTTCCGGTACCACCAGGGTATATACACCCTTCCCCAAATTGGAAAATTTTCAAGACACAAAGGGAAATATTAAAAAAAAGTTATGGATTGAAATGGTATATAATTTTATTAATTTTAGAAAATAGGTGAACTGAGTTATGGGTGTTCATCAACCGATCCAAACAGCGGTGACTAAATCGAAAAATCGATAACTGAAAAACCAAAAATAAAAAAAAATCACAAATTTTAATTGGATTGGATCGTTTTTCGATTTGGTTGATGAAAACCGATCCAATCCAATATATTAATTTTCCTCTACCTATCTGGATCTATTCCCCAATCATAACCCAAAAAATTCTAAACCCAAAACCCATTAACCCATCAGTTAAACCCAAGTGGTATTAATTTCCCTCTATCTACTTTGGCCTATTCCCCAATCATAGCCCAAAAAATTCTAAACTCGAGACCCATTAACCCATCAGTTAAACCCAAGTGGTATTAATTCCCCTCTACCTTAATGCCTAATTGTTGCTAACAATTCTTTTATGTTTTTCATAATATGAATCAAATGGTTTAACTGTTACTTTTTCAATTCTACATTTTCGCTGCTATATTAGTTTCTCCATGTCGTTAATGCATCTTTGTTTAACTTTTTAAGTTTTAAGACATATAACTTCATTTTACACCATTTGTTCTTTTATTGGTACATTATAACAAGTTTCCGTTATTATCTGATATTGTGATTTCAACCTTTGGATAGGATATTACAAAATTATGAATTTTTTACTACATAAATATAACATTTGAATTGAATTAAGGATTCGATTTTATTTAATTTTATAATTTTCACGTGAATGAGATACACTGATACTACTATAAAACTTATGTGCTAAAATTTGAAATAAAAAACTATTTTAAGATATCTCTTTTTTTTGGAGTTACCCAACCCTAATTATCTCTTTGAGACGAGTTGGCTCCCTCCGGTATCCTCACGAGCTTCGACTCTTTGAGCCGGCTATGAGACTAATCCGGAGTGCGAGGGAACAGTGATGGCTAAAGGTTCAGCCCCCTCCCTAAGAATGCATTCAGCGGGAATCGAACACATATCCAACCCCACTAACTCAGCGCCAAATTACCAACTGAGCTGCACCCATTGGGTCTATTTTAAGATATCTCTATAAAACAATAATCTAATTTTCAATATAATACAACAAAAAGTTGAAATCAGGTAAACTCGGATTCAAGTATCACCTGTTGGATAAGAAGGAAAATTAGACAAAAACAAAGTAAGAAAAATTAATCTCAATTACTAATATAGAGATATCTTATTAGTAATTGAGATTAATTTTTCTTACTTTGTTTTTGTCTAATTTTCCTTCTTATCCAACAGGTGATACTTGAATCCGAGTTTACTTGATTTCAACTTTTTGTTGTATTATATTGAAAATTAGATTATTGTTTACTTATGCTTCTACATTGCACAATAATCATCATACAAACTTTACAAAGCCAATATATATAAAAGATATGTTATTTGCACAATAATTATCATACAAATTTTAGGCTTTAAAAAAATCGAAAATCGATCTAGTCCAAACTGAATAAAATTGGATTGGATTGGATTTGAAAAAAAAATCCAAACCGAATAAATGATTACATCATTAAATCAAAATGATTGAATTAGCTGATTTTTATTTCCAAAACAAATACAATTCAAAGTGCGAATACCCCTATATTGTGTTCATTACACTCCTGGTATTCAAAAAAAATCCTATGGGGTGTTTGGTTGAAGGTTTTTGAGAAGAATGATAGGAAAATGTGAAGTGGGAAAATTGGGTGCCCATGTTTGGTTGACAAGCTTTCAAATTTGCCCACCTAAATGAGTTTGCTAGGTATTCCATTTGCATGGCTATTTGGATCAAAATTGATGGACAAATATTCCCACTTTAGATGTGGTATTCCCCCCATTTGCATGGCTATTTGAGATTTTGTTGGTTGTTTTTTTTTTCCATCTATATTTTACCTACAACCAAACATAAATTTTATAAAAGTTACCTAATTTTCCCGGTTAAATTTTTTCCTACCAAACAACTTTTTTTTATATTTTCCTACTAAACTCACTTTCCTATAAATATTATTTCTCTATCATTCATAAAAAATTTCCTCAACCAAACGCTCCCCTCCCCTAGTGTCTGGTGCAAGGTTGTAATTTTCATGCATGGTCATTTTCTTTTGTACTACGCGTTGGTGATTAAAAGTCAAACATAAAAAAAAAAAAAAAAAAATCAAACATCAAAACCGTTAGATGGTGCTATAAATACCATTCAAGTGCCACTTGTTGGATTTAAATTCATTGAAGGTTACAGATCCTAGGCGAATAATAGTCATATGGTATATGGTAATCATCAATAGTTACTAAGATGGCACGGGGAGTGAATCCTATTATGTATTAATTAATATAATTATGTTATATAAAAAAATTATAATTATATAAAGATAGATTAAAGGTAATGAGGAAAGAGAAAGAGAAAATATTATATTAGATAATTATAAAATCATCACCCCTAATTTATTTTATATTGATATAATTCTCTCACATAATATGATCATGTTAAATAAAATATGAGAGAATCAATTTCAATCGTAGATAGTTAAAGATCATTAAGGTTGTTCGTTTGGTCTCAAGTTTGATAGTTGCAAATATCTATATACACCTAATCATCTTTAAACTAGTCTTATCATTGTATGTAATTTTTTTTAATGAAATGGATTATACATACATTGTTGACAAAATGTATGCACGTAACTATTATTTTGTATAAAAAAAAAGACAACTGAAGATTCATTGTTATATTGTATGCTTTAGTTTATGATATAATTTTGATGTACTAGAATAAACCAATACATCTTTGGATGATATTAAAGTACGACTTAATTAAATGGAATATAGATTAACAAATGCTATGTCTTAAGCCGAATTAGAAAAAAATTATTAACATTGTAAAGGGTTAGACTCATTTTTGTTTCACATTGTCCTTTTTTAATCCCTTTTCCTTATTTCTCCCTTTATTTCTTCCCTTACTACTCTTTTTCTTTATTTTTATCCCTCTATTCTTTTAAAAAAATTATTTTCTATGTATTTTTACTTTTACTTTCCTATTTTTTTCTTTTCTCTCTTATATATCTTTATTTTCACTTTATTTTATCTTATTCTTCTTCTGAATTGTTTATTTCAACGTTTGTATTTCTAATGTTATTTATAGTACTTTTAATTTTATTTCTATCATTTTTTTTTAAATTTTTATTTGGATTCATCTGCCACCCACCTCAACTAATTTGAGATAAAAGTGATATTGATATTGATATTTGGATGGTAATGTAATTTAATTTGACAATGTATTATTAAATAATACCGTAAAAAAATTAATACATCATTATATTAGATGGTTTATGATTGTATAATTTATTATGACAATACATGATAAGATGAAATCTTTTACGTTAAAGTTAAACTCTTAATAGTTTTTAGCTATTAAATTATTTATTTAGTTTTACTTAGGACTTCTGCTTTTCAGATCTAAATTAAATTAAATAATTAATAAACTGCCAAGACTGAGTTTGACCAGTGCTGTTACGGCAGAAGTGTTGACAATATTTTATTTATTTATTTATGGACAGAGGATTTTCTAGTAAATGGAGATAAGTTATGTGAGCCTAAAACGATGTCATTTTGGGACAGAAATCATTAATCAAGGTGTTTTTGTAATTATAAAATATTGTAGAGTTATATATGTCTTTATCAATATAATTTTTTAATTTTATAACTTTAAAATAATATTATTTTGAGCTCACTGAAGATAATTTTATCTCCGGTGGTTAGAGAAATACTTTTTTTTTTATTTATTTAAAAAACATGATGAGCCCCACTATCTTTTTGGGTCGGTGGGAGAAGAGAAAGCCAGCAGAGATACAAACCCCTAAACCCCTAAATCACTCAATTGCCCATTTGATTTATGAACAACTCTTTTACCCCACCTCAAACTGTGCCGATACTATTCTCTTTCATTGAATGGATTTGAGAGAGACCATTGATATTAACTTATAGTGACTTGGTTGAATCATTCTTAATAAGTAAGAAAAACAAAATCGAAGTCTCTGTCTATCACGGTTGGTATCTTCTCAATATGAGACTGAGATTCAGACAAGCCAACAACCTATTCTAAACTAAGCTTTTATTTTATTTTATGAAAATACTAGTCTCATCTTGTAGTAAACTAATATCTCATGTTATAACACAAATCACGTGAGATTTACTCTTGTTAAATAAATAAATAAATAAATAAACTTCACATATTTTATATCTATAACATGAAATACTAATCTAGACTAAGACTCCTCTTCTTTTGTTTTCATAATATTCTTTCTTTTCTTGGGTTCATTCTCTGCTGCTATATCATATTATTATCTTCAGTCGGTGACCACCATCATAGGTCAATAATGACATGGTGGATATAAATAGAAAACTTTAAATTATATTTTAAAATAGATTTTTAAAATTATTAACGAAATACTATTATAGTATTGTTCTAGATTGGACCATTGAGCCATTTGCATAGCCCAATATCCATTCCCCATTACAAAAAAAAGTAAAAATAAAAAATAAAAAATAAAAATCATAATACAAAATATGTCCTAGCTTAAGCCCCAGTGGTGAGAGGGATTTGAATATAAGTATTAAATTACGTGCTCAATTCCACTTGTATAAGAAAAAATATCCTAACTCAAACAAATAATCACCTACTAATGAATATTCAACCTCATGCCTGCACTCACCCTTTCACGTTCCTAAACATCTTATATAACACATGTTCAACATCATTGCAATGGATTTTTTGACTTATTCTCGCATTACTTCACTCACCCTATAACTCATGCCTTCTTCATACACAACCCTCTTTCCATTGTTTCACGGCAAAATCCACCCCACCATAAACCGACTTTAACAGGGTTCTAGTTATACCAGTGCCTCTGTCAACATAATCAATGCAATTGTGTTGTACGATTCACACATAAATTCAAGAAGAAATATAATGTCACATAATTAATATTTCAATAATCATTAAAATACATTACTGGTATAATAAAAGAATATTTTTAATTAAGAAAAAAAATAAACTACTCACTCACACATGATCTCCTACATATATCATTTTACATTTACAATTTTTTTTTTATCATGGGATTATAGTTGGTCCTTCCCCGTTTTATGTACATTTATTGTTTAATTTCACACCTATGCTTGACATGAGATAATGCATCATTACAAGATGTATACCAAATGTTATTAGAATTCTTTTTATTTTATTTTTTCACATAAATTATGTGAGGGTCAAATAAAAACAAATCCCATGCTTCTTTGGGTAAAGTTTTCCAACAAGTAGTTGGAAGTTTCACTCGAATAACGTAATTAAACAAAAACTGTTTACATGTTTAGATTAAACAATTAAAAACTTCAACGACATCTGCTAAAAAAAAAACCCTTCAACAACTAATTTTTATAAACAGAAATTTAGATGAAAGTTATAAGTATCAAAACTAGTAATTTTTTTCATGAAAATACTATGGGAAATGATCCGTTTCCAAACTTTTTTTTACAAATTTGTGCAAATTACACTACGTACCCCCGAGAGAATATAGTGTAACCTAGTATTCTCTCATGAGAACATAATGTAGTTTGTAAGAGTTAAAAGTTTGTAAATATAATCCTCCCAAAATACTATTGTATGATAGTATTAGCCAAAATTTCGAAAGACAAATGTGAATAAGCAGATTGGGAGCACTAACAGGGAAAACTCATATCATGTCCCAAACTCTCAAGTCCTTAGTCCTGATGGGAAAATACTGAGCACCCCACTTTTCAGCCATCTTGTCATCTTGGTAATCAAATGCTAAACCCACCCAAAAGGGGCAGCTTCAACAGAGTGAAAAGGAATGGAATGGAATGCTTTGTTGTTTCTTTTACTTCCTTTTAACCCCTAGGTTTAATAAAAGCAAGCTTCCAGAGACAACAAAGCATCCAAAAAGCAACACTCCCAATTTGACTTTTTTATCTTCCTACTCATTGCAAGAAATTGCTAATAAAGACCACTTTTGTCACAAAAACATCTCATGGCAATCAAGGGCCCACATTCCAAAAATGTTTGAAATCATCTGGTGTCATTGTTGCTTGCTACATTTCTCTCTCTCTCTCTCTCTCTCTCTCTCTCTCATTTTCCTCATAACTTCTTCCAAGTATTGCTTTCCAAGAACTTCATAAGAGCAAAACAGATGCATGATTGTGATCATCTTGACAGGATTTGCAAGTTAAGGGTAGATATTATACTACAGCCAAGAAATAGGATTTTATATAAAGGGAAATGCTTTTCCTTACTCACACTCAAGAGTAATTCTCATTCAAAGGATATTGCTTGATTGGATGTTTCTGGCATAATTTACAAGTATTATCAATAAAAAAGAAAAAGTATGAAAAAGAAAGCATGAGTTTTAAGAGCAGGCTCATTGAAAATAGAAAAGTAGTCCAAAATGCAAAATACTAAGTTGCTTCACGTACCTTGAGCTCTATTCATCTGAGGCAAAGTTGCAGTGACATTAGAATTACCCAAATGGGTTTCTGGTGAACTTGATACTTTATCCTTCCTAGACCATAGCCAGATCTTGGAAACAGAAAAGCTTTCACCTTTCCTAGCAATGTTGATTTTTCCCCCCTCAACATCCCCATCAGTGGAAGAATTCCCAATTTGGGCAAATCTCCCTTTCAATTGTCTCATACTGCTACCAATACCTACTCCATCACCTTTCTTGTGGCACAAAGCCACTTGCAAATCTGAATCAGCAACCACATACTGGAAAGACCCCATAGAATAGCATCTCCTAACATCCACAATACTTGTACTGCTCTCTCCTTCAACTCTTTCCACCCCATCTCCATTATTTGAGCTTCTAAATTTTCCAAGCCTAACAGAAAACACCCTTTTCCCACTCATTATGTGATTTTCTGCATGTTTGTTAACAGAAGCAGCATCAGCAACAACACTGCCTGAAACCCCATCTTCTTCCCTTAGACCCTCAAAGTCATAAACTGGGTTTTCAAAGGAAAAGCCTGGTTCATAAAGACTCCCTCTACAGAGAGGACAAGTTGAATTAGACAGCAGCCATGTGTCTATGCAGTCAATGTGAAAAGCATGATTACAAATAGGTAGCAATCTAAGCATGTCTTGTTCTGAGAATTGGCAAAGGCAAACAGCACAATCAAAAGGCTCTTTCAAACCAATTATCTCTTCGTAAAGGAAAACAGGAAGGGCATCTATGAAAGCCTGATCTAGGCCTGAATCATGAAGATGGAAGAGCTGCTGTAACTGTCTTTGGTAAGGATCGGATTCAGACATGTCAGGGTACCTATTGGATTGAGAAATTGATGAAGGGGACCTTTGCTTTATGAGAAATCTAACAAGCAAGTGAAGGATACCAGAGATGAAAAATACAATAGCTAAAATGACTATGATGAAAACAAATGCAGGGCTTAGTCTATTGCCAGATGAAGAAGCTAAAGGTGGTGGGGCTAATTGTTTCTTGTAGTCAGAACTGTAAGACAAAGAAGAACAAGCAGAAGAAGAAGAAGTAGAAGAAGGTGGGGAAATAACAGTGGGATTGTTGATAGCATCACTGCTATGGCAGATTTGAGAATGAACCCAATACATTCTAGAAAATAGCCTTTGTCTCAGTGTCAATTTTGTATTTACTTGACCAAAGTTACTATCTTTGCTTTTTTGGGGATTCAACCCAGCTCACACACATTGTGAAAAACAATCAATAGCCACATCAATCCTTGCACTCTAAAAAAGAAAAAAAGAAAAAAAGAAAGAAACTTTACTCAAAAATTTCTGTTGCTCTTTGAAGACTATCAGTGTGGAAATTGCATGGAAGGAAACATGTTTGAGAAATTTGAAGGTTGCAGTTGACCTACCTTAATTGTGGGACTTGTTCTCACTCTGTTATGTGGAAAGAGGAATAGAAAAGGAGTCACTGCTAAAACCCAAGGTCTTCTGGTTTTGGAACTTGAACCGCAATTTCATAGAGCATAGAGTCAAGGTTAATCTTTTATCAAACTGTTGGTGTTGGCTGCTTAGAATAGTAGAATCTGTACTTTAATCTTTTATCTTTTATCTTACTCTTCTGTAAGTTTCTATGTGGCCCAATGTCAAGTTGGTGCACTAAGTCCTCGTTATATAATCAATAGGGCCCAAATTAAAAGTTCTCTGCTCTTGTATGTAGGTACACCATTAAGCCCAATGCTGATCTGGGCTATCTTTATTGCACACCTTCTGGGTAAAAAAAAAAGTTAAAAAAGTAGTAACCCTGATACCTTTAATTAGCTTAAATATTACTTATATTAAGATACTACCTGCAAATCCTTTTATTTTTCGCTTCTCTTCTTTTTATAAATAGAAATTAGGTCAAACAAATTTTATAAAATTTCTTTTAATAAAAAAAACTTTTTTTTATAATGAAAAAGAAAGTAAAAAACTTGTAGGAATAACTTCTTTTTAAGTTCTTATCAGCTTTTCTTAAAATGTGTATTTTTTTTAAATGAATAGCTTTTAAGCTAATTTTTTTTATATAATCATAATAATCACCAAGCAACTTTTAACTTTTATTTTTAATTTTAAATAAAAAGTAGATTTTAGCTTAAAAAAGAGAAAGAATTCAAACAAATTGTATGTGTATTATAGTCAACAAGTAATACACAGGGAAAATTCACACAGCTTAAATTAGTGTAAAGAGCTAATAAGTAGTTGCTTAAGAAAGTATGGAAAAAAAAAACACTTCATGATTTAATGTTTTGTGATGTGATTGAGTGTAAGCGGTAACTGCAAGCAAGAAAAGATGCAATCAAAGATCAAATGAAAATATCAAGGTTTAGAGATATTCGGTTTCAATTTTTCCTTTCTCTGCAACTTTTCATTCGAATATTGTAGCAATTAATGTTGTAGCACCTTTATTGGGCCACATTAATCTTATTTATTGGGCCGGCCACCTAATCTGATCTTACTTCGATGTATATGCATCTTATAAGGAATGACTATTATATTTTATGAAAACGAGAGAAAAATATTTTTTTTATCCAAGTGTCACTTGTTAAATGACAGATGTATTTATTACAGATGTACATAAGATGCTCTCCTTAGTGAGATCCACTTGCACGAAAATAATTATGACTCTCTCTTATAAAAGGAATCTTCTTCCACCTATTAATACATCATTTTCTCTATTGAAGAGCATCTTCTATATACTACATGTTCTTGCTAAAACTTTATTGGATTTCACCCGGCCTTCACAATCCCTCCTTTAATTATCTAGGAAAAAATATTCTATGGTCTCTCCTTATTTTTTCCTTTCTCTCCCCTATTTCTCTCTCACTCTCTCTTTACATGTACCGGGACCACTAAATATTCACTTTTATACGAGATCCATTAATAGTGACTCTCTTGTTAAGCTTAGGTGTATACTCTTGCCTTACTAGAACATTTTATATCAACATATTATACCACTTTGAGGGAAACAAACCTAAAACCCATACTTAAAAAGTTGATATAGTTACTAAAGAGATTTCCAATAATCTTATAGTTTCATTCTGGATTTTGATTTAAACATATTCTTATGCAAAATAAAAGCTCACTGAAGTTCAAGTTTTAAGAGGTTGTGTGATATAAGTCCATTCCTATAACTACCAAATTAGTTGGATTTAGTTTAAACTCATTTAACGCACACTGTTTAATACAAGTCTAGCTTTGACTTCCTCCAGAATAACAAACCTACATTCCCTTGCTCATAAATGGCTAATAAATAAACAAGGTATGTATTTCAACAAACACAGTATTAAACACATAGATTAACATTGACAGCAAAAAGCTAAGCATTCATCTGTTCAATTTCAAACAAAGGATACTTTATCCAACCAACTAATATGAGTTTAGCTCAAGGCTTTAAAAACAAGTACTTTAAATGCTAACATGGTTCTTTTTCAGAAAAAGAAAGAGTATAAAAACCAATTTCCAAAAAACCAAAAAGAAGAAAATGAGATCAACTAGCCAATAGGAAGAGAGAGTCTCCTTCTAAAGCAGCAAATATCCCTTGTCTCATCCAATTTCTTGTCCTTACCAGTATCTAGAATCGAACCGAATGATGTCTTCCTTTCTAATTGTGCTCGGGTCTCTCTGATTTGTCCGAGTGTCCTTCATCTAAAGACTCTGATTCTCTCTTCAAAAAGCATAACAGATATCTATCTTTTTCTGCTCCATAAAATACCATGGAATCTTCCTTTTCATGCCGAGAGAGATTATATTTACATTATATTAAAAATCAAATTAACAGTAATAAAATAACATCAACTAAAAACTGTTAATTTAATTTTGTTATAACGATAATAAAATAATTGCAAATAATTACAACAAAAAAGAAGTTCTTAATGCAATTGTCCACCTTTTGTTTTGTATTTTTTTTTTTCTTCAAAAAAGATCTTATCCTTCGATTTCTTTCCCTAGCTTCCTCCGTTCCATCAATAATGATAGTCGAAAATGAATTCACAAGTCCATTTTTTTTTTTTTTTATAGAAAACGAAAATTATTGATTTATATAACAGAGAATGCCACGTACACTGGTGAAGGCAGGGACGGAATCAAATTCATATAAACTATTGTTTTAGAGGGAAGTTCCATTTATAAAATTATTTTATAAATTTTTACAAATTTCACTATGTATTTCTGGAAGTACATAGTATAATCTAGTATACTTTCAGAAATACATAATGTAGTTTGTAAATAAAAAATTTGTAAATATAATCCTTCCATTGTTTTAGACACCATTCATATTTAAGAGAAATATTATGTAGTATAAACTCACTCTCTTCAAGCTCGCCTTTTAAGCTTTCTCCATATAATTTCTCATGTACATATAAAATTTGGAGACTTATTTAAATCTGACAACAAATTAATCCACTGTCTTGTTACCCCACATAAGTTTTTTTTTTTTTTTGAAAATATTAAGGGGCGAAGCTCCAAACAAAAACAAACAAACAACCAGAAACAAAAAACAACTATCCAGGGTCTATATCCCTACAAGAGGAAATTCCCTGAGGATCGTGATCAAATAACTAAGCAAGGTGAAACGACATAACTCTATGACTCCAGAATCCAGTATCTTTGTGAAGAGCAGACTTGGCTAACCAATCTGCACAGGAATTAGCTTCTCTTGGAATATGAGAAAGCGTTACCTCCCAATCCTGACTGATGAGTGCTTGTATCTTAGCCACTATACGAGGCTGATAAGCTGCATTGCAATCAGCAAGCAAAGAGAATACTTCAGAAGCATCTCCTTCTAGTTCCACATTCTTAAATCCCAGTTGCCAAACCAATTCCACACCTTTTAGAGTTCCCCAAAGCTCCGCCATTAAAGGAGTGCAAGCACCAATATGATACTCAAAGCCTCCCAACCAAGAGCCATCATCAGATCTGATAATCCCACCACAAGCAGCCACCTCAATATTCCTTTCAACTGCCCCATCAATATTAATCTTCACCCAATTTAGCCTTGGAGGTTTCCATAAACTCATATGAATTGGATGAATGCTAGTAGTAGCCATAGCCTTCCTACCCATGCAGTTAAGCACCTTCTCTATATACATAGCAATTATGTGCGTTCCATGGGTTGGATGCTTGAAGTTAGTATCATGGACACTTTTGTTCCTCCATCCCCAAATGAACCAGCAAGAGATAAAAAAGACATCACGCCAATCATCTGAATTACTTTGATTCCAAGCTTTTGAGATATTATTTTCAACCCAATCTCTAAGATCCAAGCTGTAGAATAAGCTTTGCCGATTAGTTGAAACCAGAGAATTCCAAACACTTCTAGCATGCTTACAATCTCTTAGAACATGGAGATTTGTTTCCAACTCACCAGGACACATTTTACAATGACCAGATTCCCCACTCCATCTAGATATGTGGTCTTTAGTAAGAAGGCGGCCATGCATTATGATCCACATACAAGATTTAACACGCTGAGGCCCATGCCATTTCCATATGGTAGTCCAAGAATTTTTCAACGGCATGAGAGGGAAACTAAGCATGTTATAATACGCGGTTTTAACTAAAGAGCAGCCAACCCTTTGATTTCTCCAAATAATGCGGTCATTTCCATCCAATGCGCTAGGAATGAGAGCAGCTTGGATCCTTGCAACAGCTTAATCATTGAGATATTGACGAATATAGGGAAAGTTCCATTGACCAGTATTGTTGTTCACGAAGGCACTAACAGAGAGACTCAACTCCAAACCTGTTGGAGTACGGGTAGCCAGAGAGGCAAGACACTCAGTTAAACCCAACCAATTGTCTGTCCAAAATAATGCATCATTACCGTCTCCAATCTCCCACTGCGTTGCTTGAAGAAAAGATGGCCAAACACTACACAGATTTTTCCAGAAGTATGAATCATATGCTTTATGATTTACTTCCCTCCGAAGATCCAAACCTCTCTTATATTTACTTGTTACAACCCGAACCCACAACGAATCGGGCGAAGTAAGTATCATCCAGGCAAGCTTGTGAAAGAAAGCCATATTTTGGACACGAAGGTTAATCACCCCTAAGCCACCCATGCTCTTAGGCTTGCAAATATTATCCCATGCAACCAGATGAGATCTCCTTTGACCATTTTTATCACCCCAAATAAAGGCACGCTGCAACTTCTCTATTTCATCACAAATGGCTACAGGAAGCAGATTGTGTTGCATTTGAAATGTAGGAGTTGCTAAAATAACGGAGTTGGAAAGAATAATTCGATCGGCAAAAGATAAAACCTGGTTACTCCAACCAGATAACTTGTGCCTAATTCTTGCAACAACATCAGCATAATGGTCTATGGTTACTCGACCATGTTTCATCATGGACCCAAGATATCTCCCTATATTGTGAGTTTGCTTGAAGCCACACATAGGTTCAAAACACCATTTTGTCTTAAGATTGTTATAGAAGACAATGGGTGATATTATATATCACTAATAGACTTGAACCCATGTATAAAGCAGAGGAGA